CAACATCAGATGACAATTGCTGGAATTGGTAGAAATACCTGGAATGAGGATAGGGCTCCATGTTGTACATGGTTGGAGCTGGGACGGGTAGCGCTCCCCTGTAACTTAGCTAAATAGAGGGTATGAGACTGGGTAGAGGTGGAATTGATACACAGCACAACATCAGATGACAACTGCTGGAATTGGTAGAAATACCTGGAATGAGGATAGGGCTCCATGTTGTAGTTCTGAGTAGAGAACATTCTGATTAGCCTTCCTGATCACTCTTCCTTATTGGCTAGTACTTAGATTGTGACTGGTCAGATCACGATTCTGATTAGCAGAAAATAATCAGTTTTAGCATCATCATCCTCATCCTCATCATCATATGTTGGTTACTCCGGGTAGACTGTGAGGACCCCGGCCTCAATGTTCTCAAATATCAATACAAGCCTTGGGCACTGGGCCCCTTCAAAAAAAAAAAAAAAAGTTGGCTGGTTCCCGTTGTTTGGCCTAGCCACGCGAGGCTGTGCTTGGGAATCGTGATCTGGGATTGTCTTTATGGTTTTTTTGCTGTTGGTGGTGTCCCAGTATTTCAGTTTAGACCAGCGAAGCATGCGTCGAAACTGTGATAGGGTGTCTATGCTGAGCACGAAGGGTTTGTTATATGGGACTGTTTTTTTTGCAGGTAAGGGTGTTGTTCATTATGGATATGGTAGAATTTGTTCTGATAACTTTGTCTGCGTCCCGGTTGGTTTTGTCCCGTTGTTCGGTCAATTTTGGAACGCGTAGCGGTGCTTTCATGTGGGACTAGTCATCCGGGGGTTCCTTTTTATTTTGGCATCCTGGTTGGTTGTTTCCTGTTGTTCGGCCTGTACATTTGGGGGGGCGGTGCTTTTATGTGGGAATTGTCATCTGGGATTGTCTTGGTTTATGTTTTGTTGGATTGATTTCCTTTTTTTTGCAGGCAAGGTGTTTTGATATCCTGGTTGGTCTTGCACCATCGTTTGGCCTGTGACGTGGGGGCGGTGCTTGCATGTGGGACTTGTCATCTAGGATTTGTTTTCCCCCCTGTTTTGTCGTGTTCGGCTGTTTCCTTCCTTTTTTCTTTGCCTCTTTGCCCTTTGGCTGTGTGCAAGTGGGTCAATATGACACACGGGGGTGGGGACAGCCGCTGCTCAACCTACATCCACGTGGGCGGCCTTGTACGCAAGAGGTTCTGAACAGGGGGAGTTGTAAGGAAGAAGATAAAAAACCGAAAAAAAAAATCTTGTTTTCTTTCTGTTTTTTTTTTTTTCACTTTGCGCTTCGATAACTTTGTGACCACTCTCTCTCTCTCTCTCTCTCTCTCTCTCTCTCTATATATATATATATAT